GAAGTGGGTCGGGTAGCAGAAGTGTGTGGGGTGGAACTACCAACTGATCTGTAGGAGGGTCTAGAGTCATGTGAATGACTCGGGTGCTGTGAACAGGTCTCCTCTAGATCAAGCACTAGGCTGTAGGCATTCTACAGTGTAGTGACGTTTCGAGCAAACAACTCATTGCGAAGATCATCTCGCAACCCGGTACGAAATATAGATAAGATCTGCGCAGGGGTGGTAGAGGTCTCCCCTTTGCAGCGAATCAAGAAGTCATCGAAAGAGTCGATGTACTCCTTAACGGGTTTATTGCACTGAGTCAGCCTATTCCACCAGTCCAATAATCGGGAAAAGTATGACGGAGGCAAGTACTTCTGCTTGAGTTCCCGCTTCATGGACGGCCAATCAACAATGGGGTAACCGTTTCTAGCTTCCCTAAGGCTCTCTAAGTTGGCCCAAAACTGACTAGCACTACCTGTAAGCTTCATCTCCTCAAAACTGACCTTCCTAGCCTCAGAGATGTCATACCGCTTAAAGAAATTGTCCATACCTTTGACGTAGTCCAGGAAAAGCAGGGGATCGAGGGTGTCATCAAAGGTAGGAGCGTCAACCTTAATATTTTTTATAAGTGGTGCATCAGGATAATGACGTGGGTCATGTCCGTGGTAGCGTGCTCGATGATTGGCACAATGCTACCTCTCATGTGGGTAGGTTTCATCCCTATACATAGAAGGTGGTCTAGATGGGGTGTAGGGAGTAGGGTGGTCTCTAGCTCGCTCAAGTGTATCAAATCTCTCAATGGTGTCCTACGAAGCTCAGTTAGGTCCGCTTGGTTCTCCTTGAGTTGCTGGCTAATGTTGTTCATTTGACCTACCAACAAGTCTAAGTTCCTTCCTAGTTGTTCTGGGTCCATTGGGATTTACTACAGGACACCTAACAAGACTAGGATGTAGCGGGAAGCAAGTTATATGAATAAAACACAATTATGCTATGTAAAATGATGAAGAAAAATCTAGCGCAGCAACCTAACACTTTCTAAATGACACAAATGCAATAACTATGATGCTGAAATGAAATCTACCAGGGGCGAGGGCGGGGGCGGCAGCATTAATGAGAGAGGGATGGTTTATGGAGACCAATTAATGTTGTTTGATTTGGATTTGAATATTTAGAAAGGGTCTTTTAAATCCAATTTGAAATTTAAATTCAACTAGGTTTCAATTAGGAAACTTTCCAAAAATAGAATTCATGAATTAGGAAAGAATTCAAATTCAAATTAAATTGGATTTAAATTAAAGGAGTTTCCTAATCTAGAATGTGACCTGAATGGCAAGTTTCATCACAAGCAAAGAGGGGGAACACAAGGGAGGTGGTCGGCGGCTAGGCTATGCTTGTCGTCGGGTTTGGGTGATGTGGGTGGGATCGGGTGAGCAAAGGAATGAATTAGGAAAGAATTCAAATTCAAATTAAATTGGATTTAAATTAAAGGAGTTTCCTAATCTAGAATGTGACCTGAATGGCAAGTTTCATCACAAGCAAAGAGGGGGAACACAAGGGAGGTGGTCGGCGGCTAGGCTATGCTTGTCGTCGGGTTTGGGTGATGTGGGTGGGATCGGGTGAGCAAAGGATTGGGGGAGAAGAATTAGCTTACCTCCTTCCATCTTGAGGATAAGGTGGCTCTTTGAGAAGGGAGTAGTAATAGACCAATACATGGACCAATCCAACCAGACCAACCAAGACCGATCCAGGCAAAACAAGGGATTCCCGTCCCCTCCATTGCCACCCAACCCATGTGGGCTCCACAAGAGTAATTTGGGGGGGATTTGGGAGGGGTTATGAGGGAAAAATTCAAATTGAAGGGGTTGTTTTGGGATATGACCTAATTAGTATATGCTTAAGTAGGTTTTGGAGGCTAGGGTTAGTTTTTATCTCTAATTTTTGCTTAAATTAGGATTCTTGTATCTTGTTGCTTTTCTTAAGTGGGCTCTAGCGACGTCTAGAGAGTTTGGAGAGCTAGATCTTCCTCTCCAATAGAAGATCCATTGTATCTTGTTGCTTTTCTTCATCTATTATCAATTAAAAGGTCCAATTTTGATTTTTCTTCCAAGATTTTCTCAATTCCTGTTTTACAAAGTGCTGAAATTAAATTTCAGCAAAGGAATTCTTGTTTACTGCAAGCATTTCCTAACACAAGCCTAAACTTATTAGATCCCCACCAAAAACTCTAGATCACACCCCCTAATTTTCTCCAGCAAATTCCCAGATGATCCATGCCCTGAATCCCCCTCCATGCCATAACCTTCAATGTAAAATCCTAAGGGTTAGTCCTAGGGATGATTTGACCCAAGCTCTTGGCTAACCCTATTCCCTTATTCTAAACCCCTCCTCAAACTCCAACACTCACCTAGAGGTCTTCCACACATACATAGCCACCCACTCACCTAAGAGATGAGAAAACTTCCCTTTAGCTTTGGATCTAAAGAGAATAAAATCAAACTTAAGGCTTTGAAGCTAATGGTTAAGTGAAAATCCCTATAACTTTGTGGTCAAGGTAACTAGGATTGAACTAATAGCTTTTAGGATAAGGATTAGGTAGTTCTCTTTAGCCTTGGAGCTAAGGAGAAATAGATGATTTTATGGCTATAAGGCCAAGAAGTTGGGGAATTTCCTATGGCTTTTTGAGTCCATAGAAATGAGGGAAGATTTGTAGCTTAGGGCTGGAAGCCTCAAATCCGAACCTTCAAGTTTGGTTCATAAGGTGGCCATGTAAAAAGAGAACTAACGACCAAAGTAAATAAGACATCATAGAACACTGGCTCCATCACAGCTACTAGAAGAGCCTTACAATTTTCAAAATGCAAAAAAATGAAATAATTTCTCACATCATGACATACACAAAACATCATCCCTCATCTCCAAGTCAAACAAACAATGGAGAGAAACTTTCCAACCCATAACTTACCTTATCTCTTACAAAAAACTTCATAAAACTCCAGCATATTTGATGTAGACAAAGGGGGGGTCAACACTAGTCCAAAATAAATCAAATTTTGGCTTCCCTTGAGTCTAGTAGTTTATCATATTTGAGCTGAACTTTTAGTTCATTTATGAGCTGGACTTTAGTTCATTTATTGAACTAAGGGTTAGCTCATTATGAGCTAATATTTTAGTTCATTTATTATCCTATATTAAATGTACTTTTTATGCTTTTTAATTATGTAAGTCTCTTGGAATTCCAAATCGGCTTTTGGAATTCCAAGAAATGTCTTTTCCCATGAGGTGACTCCTTGGTTTCCTCATGGCTTTTAGTATTTTGTGTTTGCCTCTTGGGATCTCACGGCTGGCTCCTTATTCCGTGACCTTCCCTCGTTTCATGTGGCTGTGGCTCTCGGTCCGTGTGGTTCCCCTCGTCTCCCGTGGCTGTCTCCTTGGTTCCTGGTTTGGGTGTTTAACCGTGAGCATGGGGGGGGGGGAGATTCCTATGCTTTTTAATGCTTAGTTTTATGTGTTAGAATTTATGTATGTGTCCTTTTGTATTCCCCTTTCATACCTATAAATATGAGGGGTTATGTATTGTTTGAAATAGTTGAAGTTGAAGTTCAATGATATTTGATTTTTGGAAAAAAATCTGTTAACCTGCGGGTTGCTTGGAAATCCTGCGGGCTCTTTCTACCATTTTTCTCATCCCCTCCGGAAATCCTGCGAGCTCTTTCCAACCTTTCTTCTCGGGCTTCTAATCTCTTTCGTCTCTCTGCAAGTGCCACTCCACCTGTATCCTTCTTCTCTAAGTGAAGCAACTTTAGGGTGTCGTTATTTTGTTTGCAAGAGTCGTTTGTATTGTTGTAAGTTTTCTTTTGTTTAGTTTAATTTGAAATGTAAGAGTTTGTTCGTCTTTTTCCTCGTCTTTAGTCATTTTCGTCCGTAGAAGTCCGTCGTGTCTTTTGTGATCAAGAGATATAGGCTCCCTATATCTTTTGCTCGCATTATCGGGGCTTACATACAACATCCCTTTCATAGAAGGGTACAACGGGAAATAAAATAAAGCAAATACATAAATAAACATAACATGAATCAAAAGTACAATGACTCGATCATGGCCGTAGATCGGCGGCCACGCCTCTGATAAACCTTCCATGATCTGATGTCCCCATCATATTGTCTTTTATCTTCGTTTGTTAATTAGATCATGTATATCATAATTCGAGATGATAGAAATATGATATCTTGATCATGTTCATCATCATGCCTCTTATTTTCTTTTAGCAAATGACAATAAATTTCCTTCAACCTTAAAACCAAAATTTACTGCTATTATATAACAAATATTTAGCAGCTAATGACTAACCTTAATAGAAATTTCTCTTTTATTGCCAGGAGAGTAATTAACCATAGTGAATTGTGCCTATGGTATACTAAAAATTAAATCTTAAAGTCCTTAACAAAGAGGGCAAAATCTCTTAGAAGCATCTTATCTATAAAATAATGTCTTTTGAAAATTTCACCCTGGACACAAACTCTCTTAGCAAAGCCTTGTGCAAATTTTCTATGCCCACACTATTATTGTCCATTAATTTGGGCAATGTGGAGATCTTCCTTGGTAATTTTGATATCCCATACACGTTGGCACGGATCGTTTTTCCGCAAATAAGTAGTTTTTATTGCAAGCGTAACATTATGAATTGGTCTTGTGAGATGTAGTGGTCGTTGTTCATCATTGTCGTCGCATTCTATCAGGCTAGAGTTGTGGAATAGTTATTGAGGTGAACAATATCCAATCTTCATTCTAAGCATTTAATAAGAATAGCTTGAATATAAGGGAGTTGGGCTGAAATTTTCAAAGCCTACGAATAGTTATCACAGCTACCAACTCTTTACCATCTGTTGGATAATATGAAACATGCAAGTGTAATTAGGCTAAGCAAACATTTATAAATGTGAACCATGCAACATTATTCAAAATTTCAAATATGTTTAGTAAGATATACCGTATTTAATTTTATTGAGCATATGGATTTCAGGTTTCTTCAGCTGTTCCAGAAGGCAAAGGTGTTTCTTCCTCTGCAGCTATTGAGGTCGCTACCATGTCTGCTATTGCCGCTGCACATGGTTAGTGTTTCCTGATTTGAAATAAATTTTCCAAAAATTCATCAGTTGTATATTCTGTCAATCGAGCATCTGCTTTTCTCCACTATAGAAATGCGTCAAATTGAGTTAGTATTTTTACTATCATTTATGAAACAGTTTGCAGTCTTTTTTTCTTGAGTCATTAAAGCCATTGTCCTTAAATTGAATATTATTTATCATCTTTCTGGTTGTTTATTACGCGGTTACGCCTGGGTACTCATTGAGCACTTTGATCTCGTATTCATTTTTGTATAATTTAAAACTTCATACTAAGTTGCCTCAAAAACTAGCAGTCTTTGGCCAACTTGTTCTACTTTTTAAAGAGCATGTCTTTTTTTTTCCTAAATTACCCAATTGGCAAAAAAATGTCAAAATAACATTACAGAAAAAAAAAAACTGTAAACTTGTCCTCTGATCTTTTCTTCAGGTAGTTGAGAATCTGCTCTATGTTCATTAGGATCTACCTTCGAGTATTCTCATCTATTTCTCCCGTTCTGGAGAGTTGGATGTGAAATTACTTATTTGAATACAATTCCATTACACTTCACGTTAAATTGCATAGTTCTTTTTAAACTCCCGTGTGAGCATTGTTGTAAATAAATCTTTGTGTACTTTCATTCTACAATTGTATGTCATGTTACCACAACGTTACTTTTGGTCTATTATCCATAAAAAAGGGTTTATAGATAAAGATACTTCATTAATCTTGGGCGGCTAAAATCATGAGTTTCTGCTATGTGTTTTTTGTAAGATAATAGCATTGGCGACTGAAGGGAAAAAACTTATTGAATAAACCAGCCATGCTACGTGCAGAAACAAGCTAGGTTAAATGTACCAAAATTGAGAATTTTGAGATGGGTGAAAGGTTATCTGAGTGATGAATCATTTACTGCAAAATGATTATATTAAATATGTGATGCGAGAAAGATTGTGGTTGATAGGAAAATAGAAGTAGGAAGGTTGCGCTCTAATTTCTAAAATTATTTCCGTTGAAATCCGACAACCTTGAATTTTTCACTTAAAACTCGTCGCGGCGCTTTGAAAAGCGTGCGAGGCCTAAAAACGATATTTTCGGGTTTTACAGGTCCAAGAATATGTTACAGGGGCTGAATAATTAAAATGCTAGGAAGTAAAATTCAGGCTAGGTTAATGAGAATTAATCCAAGATAAATTGCTCATAAGTTATACCCTACAGAATTGATGTAATTGATTTGAAGCTTTAAGCAAAATGCAGGACTGAACAAATCAGAATTGCAAATAAGGAGTTATAAAGCGTGCTAAGTTACTTATGATAACACAACTGCTATTGTGACGGTGAGTAATTATAATAACCTATGATGATCTTAATTACATAGAGTCTTTTGTAATTGGATGGTTGGAATTTGTTTATAATAATTCTTCTCTACGAAAACTACGTTGCAGAAAATATTAATTTTATTGAATTCTGTGTGCAAACTAGATCGTTGGTTTATTTTATTTTATTTTTTTTACATTTTTTACCATTGTAGGCTTAAGCATCGACCCGAGAGATCTTGCATTGCTCTGTCAAAAGGTATGACTAAACAAAACTTATGTCGCGCTTTTGTGATTTTTGTTTTCCGAATGAAAGTTCCTATTGGTCTAACTTGGAAAATTTATTGTCAGGTTGAGAACCTTGTTGTTGGGGCTCCTTGTGGAGTCATGGATCAAATGGCATCTGCTTGTGGTGAAGCCAACAAGCTTCTTGCAATGGTTTGTCAGGTTTGTGGTTTTACCTATGAGCAAAATGCCTTCCATTATAGAATTTACTTTCCATTCTGAATGTCATTTTGTCTGTACAGCCTGCAGAGGTGAAGGAACTTGTCACAATCCCCACTCACATACGCTTTTGGGGCATTGATTCTGGAATACGTCACAGGTATTCATCCTTATACATTGTAATGAAGTGATGCAACACCACAAATGTTGTCGAGTGGACAATTGTCAATATTTGTAAAGATTGCACATCACAATATATGTGAAGGAATGAAGATAGTATTATACTGGAATAAAGATGATAAATCTACAAGGCAAGGCATTTATCAAACTAGTATGAAACAATTCTATCTTTCTATTTTTCACTTATAATTGGCCTATACCAGTGCTATTGTGTTAATTACGTTGCTATTACTGGATCTTATTTGTACCAAAGTTCATCATTATACTGGGCATTGGAACATCCATAACTTCGGGTTTGATTATCTACCTTTGCTATAACTTTAATGTATCTTTGCAGTGTTGGTGGTACAGACTATGGATCTGTAAGAATAGGTACTTTTATGGGTCGGAAGATGATAAAGTCTTTAGCATCTTCATTGTTATCCCGTTCAGTGGAGAACACAGCTGTACCCATAGATGTTGGTGATAATGAATTGGATGTGTTTGAAGAGGAGAATATTGAGCTTCTTAGGAATGAAGCTTCTCTTAATTATTTGTGTAAACTCCCCACGCACAGGTATTCTAATTATTGGTGTTAGTTTTTTCATCTCTGTAATGAGCTCATTCTTGCTATAATGCTTTCTTTTTATTTGGATTGGATATATTTCTAAATACTGGAAAGCTACTTGAAGATAATTGAGGTTAGTCTCTCAAGTAGCATATGCCAATAATGTCATTTTTATTTTTGTAGATATGAGGCTGCCTATGCAAAGAAGCTTCCAAAGTTATTAACTGGACAAATATTCTTGGAGAAGTACGTTGATCACGATGATACAGTCACTGTAATTGATCCCGGACGAAGCTATGCAATTAGGGCACCTACTAAACATCCAATCTATGAAAATTTCCGTGTTGAGGTTGGCTTTGAAGAACTCTTACCTTGTGTTGTGATACTTAATGTCATAAAACAACCTTTTGTGCTCTATTTCTGTGCCAAATCAGAAGTGGCATTTGACTAACTTTTTCGCCACGGACTATTCTGATAGGAAATACTTGAAATCAAGTAATTCCTAGCCAAAACTGAAGCAGAACAAGGGAAAAACTGCTGTCTCTAGCAGTGGACAGCAGCTTTACACAGGAAAAGAGTGAGGAAACGCGAGAAAACTGAGATCCAACGCAAGCAAAGGCTAGTATTTTATTAATAGACGAATAAAATAGCAAAGATATAATTTGTTCTTCAATTCGAGAGGAAGAACGTACTCTCCAAAGTCTCCGGCGAAGCCAAGAGCCCAAAACAAAACCTAGATCTCAAAGAGAAAACTCCAATTCAAGATGATGTCTAATTCTCTCATAACTCTCTAATTAAAGCATAAGAAAAGATACAAATTACATAAACACCCTCATTGAAAAATTCCCTCCAACGAAACGCTCAAAATCCGCCTAGCCTGCTCCCTTCGTCCGTCGTTTCTGCGATCGGCGGGTTCCGCCCGGCTCAGGACCGCCGGGTGTAGAACCAGACCGGTCCAATGTTACGCGTAACATTACCGCCCTCCCAAATAATCACCTTGTCCTCAAGGTGAAAATCAGGAAACTGGTGTTTCGTCCTCTCGTATGGCTCCCACGTGGCCTCGTAGTCAAGAAGGTTCTTCCACTGGATCAACACTTCCTTAGTTTTATCTTCTTTCTGACGAACACCCCTCAGCTCCAAGGGTTTCATTATCACCTCTAAATCCTCCATAAGTGTGGCCGGCAGCTCGGGAATGGTGATGTGATCACCAATGGACTTTCTCAACTGTGAGACGTGAAAAACCGGGTGTATAGTCGCCGATGGGGGTAATTTCAGTCGATATGCTACTGCCCCAAACTTTTCCATCACTTCATAAGGACCAAAGTACCTTGGAGCCAACTCATTCCTCCTGTTGGCGACTGTCTTCTACCTGTATGGACGGAGCTTCAAGAACACCTTATCCCCTACCTCAAACTGGATATCTTTTCTATGCCCATCTGCTTGCTTCTTCATGATTTGCCGCGCCCTCAGCAAATGCCTCTTTAACTCCTCGAGCATTCGATCCCTCTCCGCCAAGTACTCCTCTACTGACGAAACAGGAGTACTATTGCTCCCAAAGTGTACCAAGTGTGGGGGATCCCGTCCGTACAACACCTTGAATTGGGTCATCTGTGAAGCTGAGTGAAATGACGTGTTGTACCAATACTCAGCCCAGGATAGCCACTTTGCCCATAGCTTTGGTGTTTCTGAAACAAAGTATCTTAGGTACGTCTCCAAGCTCCTGTTGACTACTTCCGTCTGGCCATCCGTCTGGGGGTGGTAGGTTGTGCTTCTCTTGAGAACTGTTCCCTGCAATATGAATAACTCCCTCCAGAAATGGCTGAGGAATACCTTGTCCCTATCTGATACGATCGCCTCTGGCACTCCGTGTAATCTGACCACTTCTCTGATGAAGGTTGATGCTACTGTTACTGCGGTGTAGGGATGTCGGAGGGGAATGAAATGGGCATACTTGCTCAACCTGTCCACCACCACTAAGATCACCGTGAACCCATCTGAACGAGGCAGCTCATCTATGAAGTTCATAGATATCTCCTCCCATACTCTACCCGGCAAAGTTAGCGGTTGTAGTAATCCTCCTGGTGACATAGCTAGGTACTTACTCCTTTGGCAGACCTCGCATCTGGCTACCATCTCCTCTACATCTTTATGCATCCCTTTCCAGTACAGCTCCCCATCTAGTCTCCTGTATGTCTTATGTACGCCTGTGGCCCCCCACTGCACTCCCATGAAACTCCTGGAGTAGGTTTGTGATGTGGATCGAC